CAAAAATACAAGTGAAATAATACTAAAGAGAGAAGATACAAATGTCTTAAACAGATGAGAAGGTAAATGAGAGGTGTGTTTAAATCCTAAACATTAGGCCTTCTTTTATAGGGGGAAAATCCCGCCCAAACTCAAGAGCTCGCCGATGTGGGACAAAAGAATTTGCCAAACTTCAACAATAACATCAATATTTTGATTACTTATAAGCGGTTTTCATAAGTCTTTTGGTTTTTGATCACGTCTGCACTGCAAACTGGGAACATGGTACTTTGGGAACAAAGCCGGTGACACTGCCTATGAAGAGCATATGTTTACTTTGTTTGTAGCAGAACAAGTGAACAACTAGACTCTTGGCCTGAGAAAGAGATTCGCGAAAGAACTTGGGTATGCGATAATCCATTCTTTTTAAAAGTTAAATCTATGTATATGTATATGCTGGTCTTATTAGTAAAGATGACATGACACCTCTCTTTGACTAGAGGAGCTAGTCTTGTGAAATGAAATCGCATCTTCGCCTTTGTAGGCTTTTAAAAACCAATCCAAATGAATGTTTGCGAAGCACAAAGCAAGCGGATCAAAGGGGAACTATTTCCTGGAATCAAACGTACCTCCAGCGATCGAGCAACTATTTTTCCTTTGGGATGTAGAGCTCAAATACTTTCTCTGCCACTACCAAGTTCTACTGAAAAGCATAGGCTTAGAAATAAAGTCTATGAAAGATGCAGTGTCCCATTTTAGTGCCTCTAATGTAATCTTTATTGGCAAAAGCTAGTTAATTTAATAGTAGAATATATGGGCTTAATGAAGTATTGATCATTTGTAAATAGCTCCCAGAAACAGTGATGTTGAAGAATTATTGCATTGATTTATTGGATGTTGTGTTGCATTTGCTCTAATCTTTTTTCGCGAGATCTCTACAATTCTCTAATTCTTCATCTTGCTGGTAAAGTTAGAAGGATACAGTTATTTACTAGCTCCGATAAAATCTTGATAAAATAGAAATGAATGATAGAAAATGCCATTAGTCCCTCAATCTAATGTTGGCCATTCACAATAGGCCGAACTCTATCTTGAAACCCTATTTAAGAAAGACAAAAAATAACAAAAATGGTCCCTTAAGTACATACCTAGGAAGTATTGATCTTCTAAGTTTGTTAAAAGTGAATATTTTATATTTTCGTCAAATATTTAACAAACTATGATGTGAAAAATGTGAAAAAAGACACCAGAACTAGATTTAATATGAAATATTAAAAAAAAAAAAGATTTAACTAGAAACACTCGAAAAGTTCCGTCAAATATGAGAAACTCAACACTCACCAGACACTAGCACTAAATTAAAAATATCAAAAATTACACCTTGAAAAGCTGCAATAGAATCCAAAAATAGACCAAAAAAATAGCAAAAACTGAAAAAATGCAAATTCAAATGTGAGTTTATATAAAATCATACATATGTTTTTTCACGGTTCCAATTAAATCTAAAAATCAACGTTTGATCAAATATTTGACAAAAACTAAAATGCTCTCCTTTTACAAACTTAAAAGTACCAAAACTACAGGGAAAAATGCACAAGTACCCCTGAACTATAGTCATATTTCTAACTACACACATTTCCTTTACATGTCCTATTATCCCCTATACTATTTTAGAGTAGAATTATTTCCACCCTAAAGGCGTATGTGGCAGTGTGTGTATTCCACTCTCTCAAAAAGAGTGAGGAGCAGATTTTTAATTAAATATATACTTTCTAATCTTTTTCTTTTCTTTTTCTTTTTCTTTGCCTTTTTCTATAATATTCTTTTTTCTCTTCTTTACATGAGGTTCTTCAAATAGAACATACACCGACGACGTTTGGACAAAAAGAATCTGTCACCGGGAAAAAAATTTCGCGCCGGAAAAAATGAAATTCCGATGACCACCTATATTCTTTCTTTATTTCTTTTTCTCTTCCTCCCACACATAAATCACACTTTCAAGAAAAAATTATACATATATAAAGCAAAACATCATCAGATCTGGACAAACAATTTTATCATCGAAAAATTTTTTTGCCCCAAAAAAATATGAAGTACTTGAAATTCCGACTACCACTATTTTTCAGCTTATATTCTTTCTTTCTTTTTATCTTCCTCCCACACATAAATCACACTTTCAAGAAAAAATTATACATATATAAAGCAAACACAGTCAGATCTGGACAAAAAAGTTTGTCACTGAAAAGTTTTTTGGCACCGGAAAAAATAGAGTCCTTGAAATTTCAATGACCACCATTTTTACGCCGCTCATTATCACTAGTGATATTCACCATCTAAAAGTCTTCTACCACAATAGTCATTTAAAGGCCTCAAGCCAAGAGTAGCGGCAAATTTAACTTTTAGCAAGTTAGTGTTTTTAGGAATTATTTCATGTATACCAATCGTTTTATCTATGAAAGAAGAAAGAAGACTATATTAATTATATACGAATCAATTTATATAAAAAGAGAAAAGGAGAAAGGAAAAGAAAAGAAAAATAAGGGAAAGAATAAGCAAAAAATTAATTTTAACGAAATATACACGTGTCAAGCGAGTGCAGTTCACAGCCCAACAGTAGTCTGGTTGTCGTATTTCAAAGGTGAATTTATTCTAATTTAAAATAGTTAAGAGGGTAATAGGGCCCATCGGAAAGGAAATGTGTAGTTGAAAATATGATTACAGTTAAGGGGTACTTATGTAATTACTCAAACTATAGTACAGGGAACATTTTAAATTTGTTTGGGGGACATTTTTGTCATTCTCTCAGAAAATCTCTCTAAAAATCTTTCCTTAAATGGCGACAAATTCGCTGTGTTTTGTTTGACTGTGTTGACTTTTGTGCTCTCTTTTAGCAGATAAGAAGAACAGTAGGCTCGTCTCCTCCGGCGATATTCCGCTGTGAGTTGCTTCACCTTTTTCTCCTTTGTAAAAATATGTTATTTTATACTGTTTGAGTTTATTTGTCTTGAACAAGAACAATCAATAATCTACTAAATTGCTCAATCTAAATCGGTCTCTTTTGAGGAAATGGAAGATTGTATATCAAGTTACTAAATTCAGGTCAGGTACATCAAGTTGTATATCCAAATGCATCCAAGGATATGGCCTAATGATCAAATTGCTCGGAAATTACCCTTCTTTTTCTTTGTAGCTTCATCTGCTTGTACTTTTAGCTATCCATTGTGTACATATTACAGGCTTACAGTGGACTAAAGAAGGGTAGTTCCTACTTCCTTATATTAAAGTTCAAAGAAAACAAAATAAATTCAAATCAACTGGAGTAGAGCATTAAGAAGAAGCTTCACAATAATTTCCTACCACATTAAATATTACAGTATGTATCAGTTGACTCGGTCCTATACCAATAATTCTATGGAGTATAGCCCAACTCATTCAAATTTTTCTTATTTGAAGTGCTACTAATTGTTTATTTCTTTCTCTCCTATTATCATCAGTTTATCTCTTACCACAACACTACAATTTATCCACGTTTGGGTTATTTTTTTTTTCCAGATAATTAATTGAATCAATGGCATCATCTTCTGCTTCTGGTACTTCACAGTTTCCTCGATGGAACTACGATGTCTTTCTAAGTTTTAGAGGTGAAGATACTCGGAAAACATTTACGAGTCACCTGTACGAAATCTTGGATATCAGGGGAATAAAAACCTTTCAAGATGATAAAAGGCTAGAGCATGGCGCATCCATTTCGGATGAACTCTGTAAAGCTATCGAAGAGTCTCAATGTGCAGTCATCATTTTCTCAAAGAATTATGCAACATCGAGGTGGTGCTTGAATGAACTAGTGAAGATCATGGATTGCAAGACTCAATTTGGACAAACTGTCATACCGGTCTTCTATGATGTGGATCCATCACATGTTCGGAACCAGAGGGAGAGCTTTGCCGAAGCATTTTCCAAACATGAAACAAAGTATAAGGATGATATCGAAGGAATGCAAAGATGGAGGATTGCTTTAACTGCAGCGGCCAATCTCAAAGGCTGTGATATTCGTGACAAGTGAGTTAAGAACACATAATTGCTTATAAAAATGGAGTAATTTCCATTCAGTTCTGCATGATTATGTTAAGACTAATACATATTCTACTATAGAACAATGAATCTATACCTCCAAAAATGAGTTAAACGAATTCGACACTAAGCTCCCATTTAGCCATAGATTTGGCTACTTTTTTAAAAAATAAATTGAAAACATTGTTTTTTCATGGAACATGAGTTTTTGAAAAAAAATCGAAATGTTTTTCAAATTCCCAAAAACTGGTTTTAGGACCGTTTTTTGGTGAAAATTTTCTTTCATACACAAAATTTCACGTTTTTTTCAAATAAAATGCATATCCAAACACAACTTCAACTTCCAAAAATTTTTCAATACAACTTTAAAACCTCTTTTTTCAAGTTTCAACCAAATCTATGTCCAAACTCTAGCTAATTATATGAAAATAAAAATTAAAAGATGGAAACTAAATCATTTTGTTTTGTTAAGAGTAATGCATGTACAATTTAATTTCATTGATTGTCATTTAAAAGTTAAAAATTATTTTTATTTTTTATTTCCTAAAAAAAGAATAATGGTTGATTATGTTTTTATCAGTAAGAACGGATAGTTCCACTCAATTTAATTACTCAATGACATTGTTACATTGATAATAGTTTGATTGGTAATTCAAGAGATTGATTTATGTGCACAGTTTATCATAATTTTGCGTTCTATAGTGTGAAATACCTCTTGTAATTCTTGACTTATTTACCTGTATATATCAGCAATCTTCTTATTTTTTGTAGGACTGAATCAGACTGTATTCGGCAGATTATTGACCAAATCTCGTCCAAATTATGCAAGATTTCTTTATCTTATTTGCAAAACCTTGTTGGAATAGATACTTATTTAAAGGAAATAGAATCCTTACTAGGGATAGGAATCAATGATGTTCGGATTATGGGGATCTGGGGCATGGGAGGAGTCGGTAAGACGACAATAGCAAGAGCTATGTTTGATACTCTCTTAGTGAGAAGGGATAGTTCCTATCAATTTGATGGTGCTTGTTTCCTTGAGAATATTAAAGAATACAAAGGTAGAATACATTCTTTGCAAAATACCCTTCTCGCTAAACTGTTAAGGGAAAAAGCTGAGTACAATAATAAGGAGGACGGAAAGCACCAAATGGCCAGTAGACTTCGTTCTAAGAAGGTCCTAATTGTGCTTGATGACATAGATGATAAAGATCATTATTTGGAGTATTTAGCAGATCTTGATTGGTTTGATAATGGAAGTAGAATTATTGTAACAACTAGAGACAAGCATTTGATAGAGAAGAATAATGTAATATATGAAGTGAATGCACTACCTGATCATGAATCTATTCAATTGTTCAATCAGTATGCTTTCAATAAAGAGGTTCCAAATGAGTATTTTAAGAAGCTTTCATTGGAGGTTGTAAATCATGCTAAAGGCCTTCCTTTAGCCCTAAGAGTGTTGGGTTCTTCCTTACGTAATAGGGGTATAACTGTGTGGAGAAGTGCTATAGAGCAAATGAAAAATAATCCTAATTCAAAAATTGTTGCAAATCTCAAAATTAGTTATGATGGATTAGAGCCCATACAACAAAAGATGTTCCTAGATATATCATGCTTCTTCCGAGGGTACGGAAAAGGTGCCATCATGCAAGTTCTTAAGAGTTGTGATTGTGGAGCTGAATACGGATTGGATGTCCTAATTGAAAGATCTCTTGTGTTCATCACTGAATACGGTAAAATTCAAATGCATGACTTAATACAAGAAATGGGTAGATATATAGTGAACTTGCAAAAGGATTTGGGAGAATGCAGCAGACTATGGCTCGCCAAGGATTTTGAAGAAGTGATGATCAACAATACGGTTAGTAAGCTAAACAAAGCAATAATTTTGAATTTCTAATTTTCATATTCCAAAGACATATAGGCAGCCAACTCCAATTATTTGTTCATCTTGCTTCATCTTCTTGCAGGCACGTCATTTTAGTTGTTTACTTTAGTTAGAAGGAGAAGCAAAAGTAATAATAGTTGCCTAATTAGTAAAAAAAAAATTAATTGCCTAATTCGTTTAGTAGCCTCTTTAATTTACGTTGCCTAAGTTGTTTTTCTTATATTTTTAAGCGACTGATTAAGGGAAAATGCATAAGTACCCCCCTGACCTATACCCGTATTTCAAACTACACACTTTTTCTTTGCGGGAATCCTATTACTCCCCTAAACTTATTTTAAATGGAATTATTTGCACTCTTAACACTGACGTGGCAGAGTGTGTGTATTTCACTCTCCCAAAGGAGAGTGAGAAGCAAGAAAAAATGATTTTCAGATTATTTTTTTTCTTTTTTACCATTTTTTCTTACTTTTTTTTTCCTTTTTTTTTTCTTTATCTTTTTTCTTTTACTTTTTTTTCGTTTCTTCTCTCATTCCGGCGGATATTCATTCACCGACAACTTTGTCTAACCGTTTTTCTTTCATTTTTTCTTTTCACGCCCAAATTAAACTCTCAAAAAGATCTATTCATAAGCAAAGTAAAATACACTCAGATTTGGGGAAAAAATCATCATATAAAATAAAAAACACTTAGATCGGGATAAAAATTTGTCGCCGGAAAAAATGATGTTTGTGAAATTCCGATGACCACCATTTTATGCCGTTGGTGATCAAAACAAAAAGAAAGAGAACGAAATAACCAAAAAAAAATGAGAATAATAAGAAATAAGAAAAAGAAGAAAGAATTAAAAAAGTACTAAAAATATATGTGGGGGCGCGTGTAGCTCACCACTTGCCAAGAGTTTGGTTGTTAGCGTTAAGGGTGCAAATAATTCCATTTAAAATAAGTTTAGGAGGGTAATAGGATTCCCGCAAAGAAAAAGTGTGTAGTTGAAAATCCGAGTATAGGTCAGGGGGGTACTTATGCATTTTCCCATTGATTAATCTAGCTAGTAACCAAAATCTGTTTGATCCAATTTCATTCTTTGGATTAACTTGAAAATTTTATGACATTTCATTACATAATAACTCAATCAGAGATTCACTTTACCATTGTTTATTTCTTTTAATTTTAAAAAGTCACTACAATTATAAACTTGACTCTAATGAACTTCTAAGAAAAATGAAATATTAGAAAAATTTGGCTCTTAGTCATTGACTCTAATCAATTGCAGTTTCTTTCTATCAGCATTTCCTAATGATCTTCTTACCAGGGGACCATGGCAGTGGAAGCAATTTGGCTTCATTCTAATGCACTACGCTTTAACAATGAGGCCATGAAAAATATGAAAAGGCTTAGGATATTACACATCGAGAGTTGGCCCTATGATGGTTCCAATATTAGCCATGATGGCTCCATTGAGTATCTGCCCAACAACTTGCGTTGGTTTTTCTGGGATTACTATCCTTGTGAATCATTGCCATCTACATTTGAACCCAAAATGCTTGTTCACCTTAAACTCTCTGGCAATTCACTGCGTTATTTCTGGATGGAAACAAAGGTACAATAGTTAAGTTTTACTTTACTTTTATTTTTCTTTCTAACTATCTTTGTCTTTTAATTTAGTGATAATTAACAAATATTATTGCTTTTCTCACGTATTATTTGAGGTACTTTCTATTTTTGCTTGAATTACGGTGCATGTCTTTAAATAAACAAAAGTTACTAATTCCATAAGCTCAAATTAATGTATTTCCATCTCAACTAGATTATTGTAATTTATATTATTTGGGGTTGTTCTCAGTATTATTGTAAAATCTCTCTATCTTTTTTCTTTAAATCATCCCATCATCATTTTAACTAAGAAGCTCAACTTAAAAACTCATTCAATTATTTCTCATAATAAGATTAGATTCACATGAATTTCATCCTAGGTTGTATATAGTGGGACGGAAGGAATACTTATTACTAAAGCAAAAGGAGTTTATTCTGTAAGACTATTTTCTCGAATGACATATACGCTTTCATACATTGCTTCCGGATTTAACATTTGGGTTTTCCCGTTTTATTTTACACTTTTTTAAATAGAGAAACACTTTTCTCTTTGCTACAGTTTTTTTTTCCAATCATGTTAAATTACAGTTAGCAATATTTTTATTTATAATTTACTTTTATTCAGTTTCTTAACAAGTAATTTTCCATATACAAAAAATAAATTTCTAATTTCGCACAAAAATAATGTGTTGGCCCTCATAATTCAAATGCTATCATTCATTTCTTGTCGAGGGAGTAATAAATACTTTTAGGAAAGCTAGCAATAAGTAATTAAGAATTCAAGAAAACAGAGGTCATTGATGCCCAAAAATACAAATGAAAAAACAAAACAAAAAAGTTTCTACATTCATAGATAGCCCCACTAACAAAATATAATATTATAGGAATCCTGCGGAGCAGCAAAATAGGTTCTTTCTTTTTTCTCATTCTGTTTATGTTCTGTACAGCATTTGCCGTCTCTACGGAGGATAGATCTCAGCGGCTCTGAAAGCCTGATGCGAACACCCGATTTCACGGGGATGTCAAATTTGGAGTATTTGAGCTTGGCATGTTGTAGTAATCTTGAAGAGGTTCACCATTCCCTGCGATGTTGCAGCAAACTCATTCGGTTAGATTTGAGTCGTTGTGGTCGCCTTAAGATGTTTCCATGTGTTAATGTGGAATCTCTTGAATATCTGAGTTTAGAAAAGTGCTCTCGGTTAGAGAAATTTTCAGAAATCCAAGGGAGAATGAAGCCAGAGGCACAGATTCACATGCAAGGCTCTGGGTTAAGGGAACTACCATCCTCATATTTTCAGTACCAAACTCATATTACCGAGCTAGATTTGAGTTATATGAAAAACCTTGTAGCTCTTCCAAGCAGCATCTGTAACTTGCCAAATTTGGAGTATTTGCATTTAAATAATTGTAGTAATCTTGAAGAGGTTCACCATTCCCTGAGATGTTGCAGCAAACTCATTCAGTTAAATTTGTATTATTGTAAAAGCCTTAAGAGGTTTCCATGTGTTAATGTGGAATCTCTTGAATATCTGGAATTAGAACATTGCTCAAGTTTAGAGAAATTTCCAGAAATCCACGGGAGAATGAAGCCGGAGATACAAATTCACATGAAATACTCTGGGTTAAGGGAACTACCATCCTCTTATTTTCAGTACAAAACTCATATTACCAAGCTAGATTTGAGCGATATGGAAAACCTTGTAGCTCTTCCAAGCAGCATCTGTAGGTTGAAAAGTTTGGTTAGTCTGAGTGTGTCATGTTGCTTAAAACTGGAAAGCTTGCCAGAAGAAATAGGGGATTTAGACAACTTGGAGGAGCTTGATGCCAGCTATACTCTAATTTCACGACCTCCGTCTTCCATCGTACGCTTGAACAAACTTAAAATCTTGAGCTTTAGCTGCTTCAGAGACGATGGAGTGCACTTTGAGTTTCCTCCTGTGGCGGAAGGATTACGCTCATTGGAAACTTTGAGTCTCATTTACTGCAATCTAATAGATGGAGGACTTCCGGAAGATATTGGATCCTTATCCTCTTTGAAAGAGTTGGATCTCAGTGGAAATAATTTTGAGCATTTGCCTCGAAGCATAGCCCAACTAGGTGCTCTTCGAATCTTGGACTTAAGAAATGGCAAGAGGCTTACACAGCTGCCAGAACTTCCACCAGAATTAAATGAATTGCGTGTAGATTGTCATATGGCTCTGAAATTTATCCATGATTTAGTAACAAAGAGAAAGAAACTACAGAGGGTGATATTCACACCACTGTATGGTAAGGATGATGCACACAATGATTCTATATATAATTTGTTTACCCATGCCCTGTTTCAGAATATCTCTTCCTTGAGGCATGACATATCTGCTTCAGATTCCTTGTCCGAAAATGTGTTTACCATTGTGCATCCTTGGAAGAAGATCCCAAGTTGGTTCCACCATAAGGGAAGGGATAGAAGTGTATCAGTCAATTTGCCTGGAAATTGGTATATACCTGATAAATTCTTGGGATTTGCTGTATGTTACAAAGGCATCTTAACTGACACCACAGCTCAATTGATTCCCGTATGTGATGATGGGATGTCGTGGATGACCCAGAAACTTGCCTTATCCAACCATTCAGAATCTGATTCGGTATATTATATACATTTTTTCTTTGTACCTTTTGCTGTCTTATGGGATACATCTAAGGCAAATGGAAAAACACCAAATGACTATGGGCATGTCAGGCTATCTTTTTCCGGAGAAATGAAGAAGTTTGGATTTCGTTTGTTGTATAAAGATGAACCAACAGAACATCGCGTTGGGATAAGGAGCAGATATGACAATGGTGAACAACATGACACCGTGACTGATGAAGCCAGCTGCTGTCGCATACTCTAATAACATTAGAAACAAAGGTCACATTCTAATAAAAGTAAGTTGGAAGTTTGGAAGTCCTTTGCTCTAAAGCCGGTGGCATTGCCTATGAAGAGCATATGTTTCCTTTGTTTGTAGCAGAACAACTAGACCTCTTGGCCTGAGAAAGAGATTCGTGAGAGAACTAACTTCGGTATGCAATAATCCATTCTTTTTAAATCTACATATATCTATATACTGGTCTTATACTCTTATTAGTAAAGGTGACATACCACCTCTCTTAGACCAGAATAGCTATTCTTGTGATTGAAGTGACATCTTCGCCTTTGCTGACAGGTAGACTTTCAAAAACCAATTCAGTTGATTGTTCGCTTAGCAAGAAAGCTGTGCCAAAATGGATGAATGAAAGAAGCCTTGGAACTATTAGTAAGTCGCCTCACATCACAAAGCAAGCGGACCAAAAGGGAACTATTTCCAGGAATCAAACATACCTCCAGCAGTCGAGCAACTATTTTTCCTTTGGGATGTAGAGCTCAACTAATCTTGTATGCTCTCCATCAGAAACTGATATTCACCTTTTCACTTGCCAAATTATTTTCATTTGGAACTTCAATCGCAGAAGTACCAGATTAATCATACTTTATATACCAAGAAAAGAGCAGTAAATCAGAAATTTCAAAAAACACTTGCAACAAACATGCATGTTTCCTAGGGAGGCTTTCCAAAACTTAAAAAACCTTGCAACAAAGTACTATATGCTTTCTTTACTTGCATTTATGCTATTCTTTTCTGACAAAATCCATATGAAGGTGTTGAGATACGTTGGAGTCGTGGGTGGTGTCAATGGAAAAGCAACTGTCGAACTCCCATTTGCACAACTCTTAGGATCGGATAACATAATTGCATTTACAACTGAAAGACATGCGAAGAACCTCTAGTAGTGTGTGGTCCGGTTGCTGGGGCTGAAGTGACTGCTTGTTGAGTATATATTAACTGCATTTCAGACCTTCGTTACGGTCAACAGCCTCTACTGATAATATATACCACACTGTAGTCTCTATGCTTTACATGGTGTTACATGGCTCACTCTGTGGCTTGTCTCTTCTCTTCTTCTGTAGGATTTTGTTGTAGCTTGCTTATTTGTAAATTGCAACTCTGATATTGATTAAGTTGTATTTTGGTCGAAATCAGTTAGTGAAGCAGATTGGTGATGTATGCTGATGCATCATCAACAACTGTATAGTGTTCATATAAGTCTGTAACTCTCTTGAGATTGAGGTGTAATTATTGTTATTTGTACATAAAAATAAGGTATACATTTGGTTCTTTTGATTTTGGTTGTTTGATTTTTAATTTTGAAAGAAAATAAATCCAATTCGAAGTAAAATAGATTTGGTTTGGTTCAGTTTTCTTTTTTGATTTTCTTCGAATTGATTCCCCCTCCCCCCCCCTCCCCCAAAAACACACACATACACAACTTTGCTAAAACAGTCGTAGGGATATACAATTTTATTGTTTATCCACACACGATGTTCATATCAACAGATTAATAAAACTTTTACTTTATAAACATTATGACATTTCACTATTATCATCTATGCTACTATATTAAAAGCACGAAGGCCCTTAGCGAAATATCGTTTGCCTTTTTTATCCCTTAAAAATAGATTTTACATTGGATTAAATTGTAATTTAATTATATTTTCTAATATTTAGGAATTTAAAATTAACTAAAATTATGGTTATTAAATCTTTCCTTATTTGAGTTAAGTCGAAACTCCTAATATTTAGGACCATAAATTCTATTAAGATTTTACCTTGATATTTTTCATAATATTTATGTTATTTTTAGCAGAATATATTGGTAATAACGAAGAATCATGAACCTACAACAACAACAACAATCCAGTAGAATCTCACAAGTGGGGTCTGGGGAGGGTAGTATATACGCAGACCTTACCCCTACCCCAAAGGAGTAGAGAGGTTGTTTCCGGAAGACCCTCGGCTAAAGATAATAAGAAAAACAAAAATGAGAGAATATTAGTTTCGCCACAGAGATCATAAGAAAAATAGGAACATAAAATGCAGAAGGAAAAATGCAAAACAAAAATGATGGCTAGTAAATAGGTCCTGCATCGAAAAGAGAAAATAGTAAGACGCGGCAACGCCCCTAGCTATTTCAGACGAAAACCCTACCAGACTAGGCTCACAACAGTACAAGGTAATGCAAGACTCAGCTACCTCATAGCCTACAATTGTAATACTCGACCTCCATAACTTCCTATCAAGTGTCATGTCCTCGGAAATCTGAAGCCTCTCCATATCCTGCCTGATCACTTCTCCCTAATATTTCTTAGGCCGCCCTCTACCTCTTCTCGTGCCCTCCACAACCAGTCGCTCACACCTCCTTACTGGAGCATCTGGGCTTCTCCTCTGTACATGTCCGAACCATCTAAGCCTTGCTTCCCGCATCTTGTCATCAATGGGAGCCACATGCACCTTCTCCCGAATATCATCATTTCTAGTCTTGTCCATCCAAGTGTGCCCGCACATCCACCTCAACATTCTCATTTCTGCTACTTTCATCTTTTGGATTTGTGGGTTCTTAACAGGCCAACACTCAGACTCATACATCATCGCCGGTCTAACCACCGCTTTATAGAACTTACCTTTGAGTATCGTTGGCACTCTCTTGTCACACAAAACTCCGGATGCTAACTTCCACTTCATCCATCCTACCCCAATACAGTGTGCGACATTCTCATCGATCTCCCCTCCCCCCTGGATAACCGAACCAAGGTACTTGAAGCTGCCTCTACTTGGGATAACCTGTGATTCGAGCCTCACATCCACACCTACTTCCCCCGGCACAGTGCTAAACTTACACTCCAGGTATTCCGTCTTCGTTCTGCTCAGCTTGAAATCTTTAGACTCAAGAGTTTGTCTCCAAACTTCTAGTCTCTCGTTAACCCCGGCTCGTGACTCATCAATCAGAACTAAGTCATCGGCAAATAGCATGCACCATGGCACCTCCCCTTAAATATGGTTTGTTAATGCATCCATCACCAGGGCGAATAAGAACGGGCTGAGTGCAGAGCCTTGGTGTAACACCATCTCAACTGGAAAATGCTCAGATTTGCCTCCTACTGTCCTAACCCGAGTCTTGGCCCCATCATACATATCCCTAATCGGCATAATATAGGGAACCGACACACCTTTTGTCTCCAAGCATCTCCAGAGAACTTCTCTAGAATCATGAACCTACTATACCTTATATACTTCTAATAAATACGAAGGAGTCCTTCAATAACCATTTTTTATTTTTACAGAAATAGAAATAAGTAGCGAATTCACAACTATAATCAAAGTACAAATTTTGGACTTCAAAATTTGGATTTTAAGTCCTGGGTACTAACAGGAAAAAAATCCTTAGACTTTTGGTATAATATTTCTCTAAAGATATATAGAGAGAGAGAATCATACTAATTATCATTTTATCCAATTTAAAAGTAAAAAATTAATCAAACATATTGTTTAAATCTTCCTAAGTTTATAGTATATCGACAAAATGTATTCATCGAGACAGGTAAGACACAATTTTTTTGTATCTCATATTATAAGATACGTATAATTGCAAAACAATATACAATTAATTTAACTGGAGTTATTATCTGTGTTAAATTCAACTACTGTGTAATGTGATACATTTACTTTTATCATTTAAACAAATATTGCATTTCATTTTTACGTTAATATGCTTTAGTGAAATGTCGTTCTTCTTTTTACCCTTAAAATAGATTTTATACTGGACAAAATAGTCATTTAATTATGTTTGTAATATTTAGAAATATTCATTTAAGAAATTTTTTATTATTTATAAATAGCCATTTAATTATTCTTCTAATATTTAAAACTTTGGCTTGCAATCAACTCCTTATTTGAACTATATAAAAAATTTAAATATTTGAATCTTGAAATACTTAAATCTGAAAATCAATTCAATTTTTACTTTGTGCACATATATAACTGAATAAATATGAATTCAAATAAATCTTTTTTCTTCCTACCGAACTCAATTAATTAATCTAAACAATTATATTTCATTTAGTATTTTATGTAATATAGTGAAAAGATGAATTTTCATCATGATCGTGAATCTAAAACTTAAATTGCTGGCTCGAACTTTTAATCTCTTATTGATTTAGAAAACTATAATCCTTCTTATATTAATTATTTTTTACCATTAAAAAAAGAATATAATTGGATAAAATTGTAATTACTAAATATTTAAAATTTGGTATGAGCTAGCATTAACAATTCGAACCAATAAGAAAATAAAGTATTTTCTTATGTGAGAACTAATATTGAGAATTAACTAATTAGCAAAATAATCCAATTCAATTCTTCTAGAATTGATCATACAAGTAAAATTATTTTTTTAAATCGACATGATAAGGTCCCGTAAATTGTGCCCCTAAGAAGAGAATCAGCAGCAAAAGAAATCAAAAAATAAGAAAAATATCATTTTTAGTATAATATTAAGAGTCAAATTAATAAATTGCTATGCATTTAACTGAATTAACATTCTTCACTTAGTTTCTTATCTTTTATTTTAGGGAAAATTTCACATAAGAACAACTGGACTCCCTACTTTTCAATTTTATAGCCTATATTTCAATTTACAATCAACTAACCCAAAATAAATAGGCTAATACTCAGCATTTAACTCCAATAGATTCTCGAAATTACTATTTAATGTTTAAAAAAGATTGCTCAGGCTTTTAAGTTAATTTTTGAATCAGTAATTGTCACTCAAATATTAGTTCAACAAACCAAATCCATTTGGGTGGTGAAAATTAGATTTTTAACAAGCTTAAATATGTGGGTTTAAATTTTGAATTTGATTTTGTGAAAAATTTAGAGTGGATGTTAATTAGATTTGTTAGAAATAGTATAAGGAGGTTGTATATAAAATTTGAAGTCATCTAATGGAGATTTAGACTGGTTTTGAACAAGAATTGTAACTCAAAATCGTGGAAGAAGTTCGTCTACAAACGCTTGTATAAAGATGTATAAAAGTGTATAATAGTGTATAATATATGTTTATACACTCATATACACTATTATACAAGATTATACAAATTATACAAAAAACTGATTTCGTCTTCTACCTTGCGTCTTTTCTGAAATTTAACTCAAATCTTGCTCAAATCTACTCCAAATCACTTCAAATTTAAATATTGAACTCCTTTTGATATTTTCAATCAATTGGAATAAAACTCAATCCAAACAACTAACAAACTCAAAAAATCATATTTTCGAAAGCAAAACTTTGAATGGCCTTCAATGGTGGACTTCTACTCTTCAATTTTCTGACATTACAAACAGGGGGAGAAGCAGAAAATATACGGTCCCTTGAAGCATATGTAGAAGATGTGAGAAGAAGAGAGGGTGAAAGCAATGGTTGTGAGATTTAACTCCATAGCTTTTAGAAACAATGGTTGTAAGAACACATATTGTGAATTTGCTAATGCTTCTAAAATATGTACAATACGGGATAATATATATATATATATATATATATATATATAAAGCTAGGAATGAAAAAGCTGACTTGGCATCTCTATTTGGCCAAGAATTACATTTATCTATTTTATGGTTATTTTGTCATTTTTTAATTCATTTATCTAAATAAAAAGTTTTACTGAACGTCTCTATATGAAAAGTCGCACTAAATGTGATCGCTAACCGTTTTGCCTCTATTAGTAATAAAGATTAATTAATTTATAGACAACCGTTTTTATCCTCAAACATCTATTGCAAAGTCACTTTTAAAATTATCTTAATTACACCTACATCTACTCTCCTCCATAGTAATTATACGCTGTCTGCTTATCTTTATTTTGCTTTTTCTATTTTCCTTCTGAAGGTTATGTGAGCTAAAAACAATAAGAATGAGAAAAAATATAGATATTTTGTTGTTTCTGTGCAGATGTTCATTTGAAGGAGCAAAGTTGATGTGGGATCACTAAATTGCAAGAAAAGATGAAAAACAATAATTTTCTCACAAATATACTCACTTTTCCTGACAATAATTAATGACTAATTGAGGGTTTACAATGCGGCCATTGGATTGATCTCTTAAGCAAGAATCGGTTGTTTATTTAATACTCCAGTAGTAATGACATTTTGGACTTCTCTTTTCTTTTTCTTTTTTTTCTTTTTCTTTTTTGTTATTTGGATGTCCTCGAAGGGACATGACTCATGGAGTTGTCACATTAATTGAAATGAGTTTAGC